AAAAGATTTTTTTGCGACTCGAAAATGAACTAAAATAAAAAAAATGAAAAAAAGTTTTTTTTTGTTTCTGAATTTGATAAACATCCAACGCAAGTATTTTTACTAATAGATTAAAATTTTAACAAATCAGTAAACCTACTTTTCAGAATGCCATCTCGCAATGCCATCTTAAGCAAGTTTAAATTTTACTTAAAGTTTCAAAAAACCAAAAGTTTCGAAAAAAAATTGTGGTGAACTTAAAGCGATCGCTGAATTGAAATTGATAGTTTTTCTGTGCAATGTCAAGACAGCTAGAGTATATGTATAGAAATTCGAAAGTTTTGTAAGCGCATCAGGTTATTACAATTTCAAACAAATGAGATTTAAAAAGTCCATAGAAGCAATAATATTTTGATAATCTGGCTCAAAATAGCTATCTAAAAAGCTAAACAAAAACTCAAAAAAGAAAATGAAATCGACAAACTCATTTCAAAATTTTATTAAATTTCCGTATTTTTAAAGAATCTTTTATATTTTTTTCATGCAAAATAGACCTCGAGAGCGTAATAAGAATGACATAAAAATATCTAGCGCGGAAATCCTTATATTGCGTTGTTCGATAGATATATTTTTTCAAATTAGTGTCGTTGTGTTTGGGTGGTGTCATAAAAAGGTCTGAACAAATGCCTACATGCGATTCGACAGTCATAGTAAAATCTACAATTTTTCGACAGTCATAGTAAATCTAAAAGGAAAAAAAATTGTCTAAAATGATAGAAAAACAAACAAGACTGCTCGTATCAGGGCGAAGCCCTGAATGTTCCGACTGCCTATTAAGGTTTATGGAGCAGCAGTAATAACATAAAAAATTAAAAGAAATAAAATGAAATGAAATTTTTTTTTTAAATTTGAAACTTTTTATGGAAATCATCCCCCCACACGCCATATAAAGTATAAAAAGATAGATTTTGTTCCTTGTAACAAATCAATTATGGCACATAAGCTTCGTTTAACCAATTTGGAACGATTTATAAGACGGATTAAATCTCCGCTTACGCGTTAATAGCGCGAATTATATCGCGCGTTAATTGTCCCAAGTTGGTCAAAATGACCAAAATGGCAATCTTTAAACCCTCATAACTTTACGAAAAATGACCACAGGTAAAATATCTTTTCAAATTTGAGCTCAGGATAACAATACCTTTTGAATGATAATAAAAAAATTCCGTCAAAAATGGCTAGTTAAAAAGTCGAAGTTTGTCTGAAGAAAAAAAAACCCACCCCGAGCACAAATATTCCGTTACTTTCGTATCGAAAGTCAGAACAACCAGCATTCGAAAGTCGAAACAAAAAATCATATAAAGATTAAAGCCTTTTTCTTAAATTTTTTAAATGTTTTTGTGAATATTTTTGAATTTTTGACGTGTTTCATTCTCAAAATGCCCCTAAAAAATTTTCGAAAACTAATTCTAATGAAGTAAAAGTAAATTTTTAGGGCTTGAATAAAAGGTTCGCGATATATCACTAAATTCATTCCAATGATTGTTTGCGAAACCTGGTTTTTCAATAGTCGGAACAATAAAAACTTCCAAGTTGTCCTAGAAACTTACAACTTTTTTCATCAGAATCAGACTTCTGCTCGATATCTGGTAACTCAAAGAAGCTCGAGGTCATACATGGTATCACAGTAAGATTTTTTCGGTCAGATTTCATAATGAAAACAAAAAATTGTCTCAGTGCCGAGGAATATGTTGCGACTTTTTGTCTGTTCTGATATACTAGTATTCAGCAAACAGAAAATCTTTTTTCTTTTCTATGATGTAATGTTATAAGTTGTGAAAAACATGGTGATTCAATGTGCCGTAACTAAGGAATTTGGTTTGTTTATGGCTTGGAGGAATCTTTATTTTAAGACACCAAAAAAAATTAATAAAACAACAATTTTTCCTTTTTTTTTGCAATTATAGCTGGATTCAGCTGTTAATAGCGACCGGCTACTTTTGGTTTGCATTCACCTTTTCAGATTATACAAATTCGGTTTTTAAAATTTGGACTTCAATTGGGAAATAAATTGAAAAAGAGTAGAAATTTAGGTGGTTCTGGTTTGTTAAGAATTGAAGCAATCGGCTTTCTATTTGGCTCATTGTTCGGTTTAGTTTATATCCTTCTTTCAAACAGTTAAATTCCTCAATCATAACTCATAAATAGCATTAATGGATTTAACATACAAATTATGACAACTTTTTAGGAGAGCCGCGAAGTCACTTGACATATTAACAACTCAGACGGTAGTGATCGGCTAAAAAAGACAAACAAGTACATCGTATCGTGATTACAGGTTGTCACAAGACAGAAGAAAAGGAATTTACATTTCATTTCTCCACTGCTTATTAATTGATTTGCAGGAGCTTTTAACGGGAACTGAAAAGTGCTAATGAGTCTCCGCCAATCAATATCGGCAAACTGCAGCTTCCCTTCAAGATACAAATTTCCTCATCTTTCAAAATAATTACAAAAGAATTCTTTTATTCATCCCATAATGTAATTATGCATTATTAGCTACTTAAAAACTAGACATTTCATTTTACAAGCAATTCAGAATTTTATTCGTATGGGAGAGAAAAGATAAGAGCAAGGATATATTTTTCAAGTGAGCTCGGGGCGCATTTGACAGATTTCAGAGGTGACCAAAATTGAGCAATTTCTCACCCATTTTTGATATTTTTCGACCGCTAGGAAAAAATTACACAAATTTATCAGCAATTTAGTCTCCCAATTCTGTTCACACCCAGATTATGATAAAATCTGCAACTGAAACCCGTTAAGTTCGCATTTTATGGGAAACTTTTTGTCTCCTTCTATTTCGAGCAAAAAAAATAGTCTATAAATTGAATTTAAAACAAAAGGTTAGAATAAAAGCGGTTTAAGCCTTGAAAAATGTTTATTGTTAAATCTCTTGAGATATTAGAGATTGCTTTCAAAAAGTTTCGAGGGCTCCAACCGCCACAGACTTTTTGACGCAATCTTAACCGTCAATACTCAATAAACAATTTCAAAGAGTGTCCCAAATATGAATAATGACCTCCATTTTTTATTGCCTGACAATCATATTTGTAATTTATAGCCTTTCACCTAGTTCCAGGTTGGAATAAAAAAGAATTGATAAAAAATCAACCTTAAAATATTTTTGCATAGAAAATATAGGAAAGTTTCGTTAAGATTTTGGGTCAAATCTAAAAAGTGTTTCGTGGAAAGTGAAGCTGTGAGAAATATTACGGTGATTAGAGTTTAAGAAAAAATTAAGGGGCACTGTCTAACAGGTGATTGTATTGTATTGACAGGAGACAACATCAAGAGGGGCTTTTGAGAGGTAGTGAGTTCTTCGCAGAGGTGGGATAATGGGGGAACGAGTGATGTGTTTGCGTGAACAAATGAATACACTCAGAAGTTTTCAGGTGAAGATCAATTACCACTAGACAGTCAAGAACGAATGTATTCGAGGATTGAACTTTTATCATTACTAACAAAAAAGTTACAAAAAAGGTATAGATAAAAATATTAAATGATAGAAATTGTAGAAAACATAGCTTCTAACCTAAAGTGGCAAAAAGGAATCAAACTGAAGCGTGCCCTCTGGGGGGGGGGGGGGGGGGGATTTGACCTCACTTCCCTTCCCCCTTCAATTCTGAATTCTGGTTGCCACATTTTTTGGTTAACCAACCTCAAAAAAATGGTCGGCAGAATTGTTAAAATTTTCGAAAAACCGCCCCCTAAAAAAATTTCTGCGCACGCCACAGCCTCTCTGGTATACTTTTTGAGTGCAGTGATTATTGCCTTTGTTGGCGATGAAATCATTTTAGCTTATTAAGTTGTATGATGTGATTTAAAAAATGGAACCAATTTTAGTTGTCATTTGTTAAAAAATGAAATAACAAAATAATTCTCTTACAGAAGAAAATCAAATGGTAAATGATGCGAATGAGTTTTGTTGTCGCTTTCATAAAAGCAAACTTTGAAATGGAACAATTTTTAATTGTTTTAATTGAATTAAAGATCCTAAAATCATTTTTCTTCGAGTAGTCAAAAGGAGAAAAGCCAAAAAGTGATACTTCTGAAACACTTCATTGAAGTATTGAGCGTCTTGTTTGAAAATGAAGCTCTTACTTTCAATGCAATGGCGAGATGGTGGACCCGCGTTGACCTTTATAGAAGAAAATTGCTTTTCATGCAATTTCATTAATTGAATCTACGGAAAAAATGGTGGTCACACAAGTTTCATACAGTTTCTTAAAACAGCTTCAATGAGAAAATAAAAAACATCTTCAAGCCGTTAGTTTTAACGCCCCCAAACCATAGAAAAGACAGTTCTTCGGGAGTTCCCCAGTTGATAAATTGTCTTGATATGTTAAAAACGACCAATCCTTGGCTGGCAAAATGCATTTAAGACCAATGCAAACTAATATCGTTTCTAACATAATTTTTATGTAGGACTTTAAAAAAAACGAAGTCGAACGAGTATTCGGAAAACGCCGGTAAAAATTTGGTAATATCCACAAAGTTTCTGGACCAGGACTACGCATTAATCGAGTGTCAAAATTAATACCTATGCATCTAATAGACATTCATAACTACAGAGGGACGTTTTAGTTTCACTCGCGAGGCGTCAGCACTGCGGGGGTGTAGTGACGTTTTTGGTTGAAAACTTTATGAAGCCTTTTAAAAAGTGACTTTGACTCGATAATTCACAGCGAGTGCTTTCATTCAACGTATACGGTCCGCGAATGTCATTGCATTTGTTTCCAATATGTCACAGGTAATTAGACAAAATATGCATATTCAATTCACTAGCTTGAACCAGTCAATAATTCCCCTTCAAATTATTCCTTGTACTAGTCGATAAGTCGATTCACACTCAGGCTGTTGCGCAATCAATTCCTATTGGCCAAACCAATGAGCCAATCACAGAACAGCTCCTTTTCCTAACATCCCTCTTCAACTTTCCTTGAATTCCCACATTTCGCTCGAAGTCTGATCCAAATTTGATCGAGTAAAGATAAATCAAAAAATTCTTCGATAAATTTTCGCTAAGCTCCCGAACTGAAAGAAAAACGTAGATAAAATTTTTCAAGTAGAAAAATTACATTGTAAGACTTGGAACTATGGATCTTATATCAGAGATCAATTTTGCATCCTCAGCCTCGCTAGCTTCAGAGAACGTTAACAATGGAGTAAACAACGACGCTAGTTCCCCAACTGGTAAAAACAACCACAGTTTTCTCAACATCGACCATCTAACGAATTGCAGTTCCACTGGAGATATCCAACAACTAGTCGGGGGCATCTCAATTCCTCCCACATCCAAGCAAGACATCACTGGAATCCAACAGAACCCGTCGGCAGTCTGCGATTCTGCATCGTTCACGAATTTCCTCATGTGTCCAGACATTGGATCCCAGTTTTGCTCCAGCGCCACTCAAAACTCATTCAACGCTTGGATCTCAAACCCACCCGACAAAACAAATTCCGGGCTCAACTTTGGAACGTCTCCGTTCCAGACTAACACTTCCGCGAATAATCTGTACAACAATGTTTCTTGTATCCCTACCAGCGCGAAATTTGAGTTCAATACACCTTCGTTTGATTTCAACGCGTACAACCCAGCATCCGCTTGGGCGCCCCTGGATATGTACAGTAACTCAAATATGGCAGCTTCGTACCAATGTCAAAGGAATATTTCAGCGTCGGCATTGAGTGCGTGTTCACCGGCAAAGTTCGCAGCCACATACCCGAGTATAAATGTGAATGGATTCTACTACCCCACGACTTACGCCACGCCATACACTAGATACTCGAGGAACCTTCTCAGTAAGTCCGAAAACTCAGTTGAGGAGAGTTAGATTGATGGTTGAAGCAAAGGTGAAATTAATTTCTAATAAGCCAGAGCCAGATGGAATTTTAAACAATGGCAGAAAAAACGATTCAGCATAAGCTGGTTACAGTAATTAGTCTTAATAATCCTAATAAACTTCCAATAATTTAAATCGATTGACCTCAATCTTTGTGAAACGTAGCAAGGAAAAAAAGAAAAATCAATTTTTTGGCATTGTATTACACCTTCAATTAAAAAGAACTCATTCTTTTATCATTTTCATTAATCATTTTGTTACAATAACAACTACTTTCGTGGTTAACTGCAAGGTTTAATCAATATCTAGTTTAATCAATATCTTAGTTTAATCAATATCTTTTTTCGATTAGCGAAAGACGGCGAAGAGTTAGACACGCGAGACATAGCCCAGCGCATCACTACAGAACTGAAGCGCTACAGCATCCCTCAGGCAGTGTTCGCCGAGAAGGTTCTCTGTCGCTCCCAAGGGACTCTCTCCGATCTCCTGAGGAATCCGAAGCCGTGGAGTAAGTTGAAGAGTGGACGAGAGACGTTTAGAAGGATGGGCAAGTGGCTGGAGGAACCGGAGTTCCAGAGGATGGCCGCTCTCAGAATAGCAGGTCAGTACCTTTCATAGTTCAGTTTTCACCAGCAAAAGATCGGTTAGTTTCAATTGAAAGTTTGGATTTGAAATCCAAAAGTTCTGAATGTGTCAATTACATTAAAAACGCTATTAATTTTTTAAGACACTAAAACAATCCCTAGAGATGCTTTTGATCAAAACTTATTCATTTTGGTCGAATCGTCTATAAAAGTTTTGCAAACACAGTTTTAACAACCTGCAATTATACCGTAACCGCCTACATTTTCAGCATGTAAGAAGAAAGAGGAGGAGCAGCAAGTGATCTCTAAGCCAAAGTTGAGTAAGAAGAGCAGACTGGTGTTCACGGACATCCAGAGACGCACTCTGAGAGCCATCTTCCAGGAGACTCAGAGACCCTCTAAGGAGAGCCAGGTGCAGATAGGGAAGCAGCTGGGACTGGAAGTGAGCACTGTCAGTAACTTCTTCATGAACGCCCGAAGGAGGTTAGAGATAATTATTTTTATAAGTATAAAAAACTGAACTGAACAAGTTTAGCCTCAGTAGGTACTATTTATTGACCTACTGAATTTTTAAAAAACAATTGGCAGTTGCTGCGTCACGAGCCCAGATTTTTGGACCACAGTTATTTTTGTGATTCTGTTTTTTTTTGTGTCAGCCAAGCTTTCTGATTTTTCTAATTGTTCGGACCGCATTCGTTTTATTCTTTTTTTCAGATAATTCTCACTACCTCAAAGGAAGCTCGTAGAGGTCCAAGTGCGGTCTAATAAAGCCCTAATAGTCTTTATTCGAGTTCTTGAAACAATTTAAAAAAATTTTTCCACTGTCAAAAACTGGTCTGATTTTATTTTCAGACCACATTATACGAACCTTGCTGTGAGAGGCTGTACTCGTCATTTCAACTCAACTATCAGTTGATAATTACGTTAGCTATTACAGTGCTGATTCAAATTATCCGGACAAAACTTGAATTTTCAAACGCGTTTTTCTCAATTTGGGTTAAGATTAGACAAAAAAGAAGAGAACAAAAGTTGCTCAGAATTCCATCAGAATTAATATGGTGCGGTTTTTTCTCCGAAATTCTCAACCAAAATTTTACTCCAAGATTGGGTCGTTTTGGCTTTTTTCAATGAATCAAGTATTACGATGAAACTACTTTGTTCATTGATGAAAAATATTTACCACAAGAAGGCTCTTATACAGCCCAACAAAGTTCTAGAAGGGTTAAATCTCCAAAAATTTGAGTTAATTGTTTAAAAATTGTTTTTAAGCAAAAATTTTAGGTTTTATATAGTAAAAATCACGTTTGCTGATTATGAAGCAAAAATATTTTTTCACAGGTTTTTGGAGATTCAACCCTTCAAGAATTTTGTTGGGCTATGTAAGAGGCTTCTTGTGATATATATTTCACATCGATTAATATAGTAGTTTCAGCGTTAAACTTGATTAATCGAAAGAAGCCAAAATGACCCGTTTTTGGGCCAAAATTTTGGCTGGGAATTTCTGAGAAAAAATTGCGCAATATTATTTCAGATGAAATTCTAAGCAGCTTTTGTTCTCTTCACTTTTTGTCTTATCGTAACATAAATTGAGGAAAAACGTGTTTGAAATTTCAAGCTTTGTTCATTTCGTCCATATGATTTAAATCAGCGCTGTATAACTTCACCTTGTTGCAGTTTTTTCTACCTAATTCGGTCACTCTTTGTTAAAAAACATTCGGTCATCTAAAAAAAAAGGAGTTAGAACATCAAAAAAATTTCGACTTTTTTTTTTCAAACTACTTTGGATGTTTTGGTAATTTTTTTCTTCTTAAATTTTTATGGTAGTAACTTCTGTGCTAAATGTTATCAATTGATACCGTAAGACGTTTTGTTGTAGTGCCTGAGTTTGCATGGATATACCACCCGAATTTTATAATTATTCCTATATTGTGGTCGGATCAAAGAGTGTGGTACTAATTAATATATGCAACACGGCCAAAACAAAACAACGAACGCTGCAAATTCATTTAATGTACAAGTAGTATCAATCTTAAAAGATGAAATCTTAGTTTGCTCATAAGATGTAGATGATACTTCGAAACGCATGTAAAACACACACGATAAGTTCCCGCAAACAATTTTACGTTCAAAAACGTAGTTATGTTTGTATTGTGTTCAATTATAATATTAAAATATTATCTATTTATTAATATTTGAATTATTGGTCCGGGTGTTTTAGTTTTATTTGCTTTTGTTTTCCACGCAAAATTAGGTACACGGAAGAGTCATCGGAATGGGTCGAGCAATATACCAAATTGAAATTCTTTCAGTCGAGATTCGAACACTAGAAAATTTTTAAAGGTTTCTTTTTTTCGCAGTATTGAGAAAAACTGGTTACAAATTTTTGATTTTATTTCAATTTAGAGCAAATAAAGTGAGTGATCAGGCTGGGAATCAAAATCTTCAATAAAAATCAAAAAATTTTCAGCAAGAAAATTTGAAGTAAAAACTTTTTTTGATTTTGTAGTCATTGTTCTACAAAAACTCTGGTCCAATTTTCCTGTATTTTTAAGACTTCTGTGTATGCCTAAACTCTAATTTTATGTCAGATCTTTTAATCACACTAAGCCGAAAAAATTACACTAATAAAAAACTTTACTTTTGGTTTTTTAAAGACTGGTCGGAACATCGTGCTACTTGCACAGTGACAGGCTATCCTTATTTTTATTTAATTTTTTGTACAGGTGTGGCGATAGGTGGAAAATGGATGACAACTGTGGGAGTAAAGGGGGATCAGGGGTCAGACAGTCCCTGACATCAGGAGTAGTCCAAGTTCCCCCGTCCCTACAACACCACACTCACACTCCCACCGCCATCAACATCACCACCGCCAATAACCTCAACGTCATCACAGGACTCAACTGTCCAACCATTCCCACCTTATGATTTTGATGAAAAACCAAGTGGGAACACTGTTTATGACAACAAAACTGATTCAGTTAAATTATCAAAACTCTAATTGGAACACAATTACCCAAGTTGACACATTCCCTATTTAAATGTCGTTTAACAGTTCCTTGCTCAGTTAAAAAAGAATTTCAATTATTAAAAAAAGAATTTTGGAGTTGAAGCTTGAATGCGTCAACTGATGTACATTCCACTTGAAAAAAAAACCAATCGGCTTGAAGAGTCTGCTATACTTTTTAAATTCTACGAATTGCTGGCGCTATACTTATCTAACATATGTACATATTGACAGAGATGTTTTACAAATCAGTATTTACAGTTTCTATCGACAGTTGGTTTCAATATATTTATTTTCGTTGTACTTTATCGGCAGGTGGTTCATTCAATTTGTGCACGACGTGTTCTAAGAAGTTTTCAATTTCGCGCCTTTTTTCTCGGATCTCCTCACTCGTGACGTCATGAGCACTCTCGGCCCAGTCTATCTTCTCCTGACACACAGCCAGAGTCTGGTTCTTGTCGTCTTTGGTGAGTCGACCCAGAATACGGTCGGGCTCCATCACAGTGTCACGCATGTCTTTCAGAAACCTAAGCAGAATCTTTTAGCTCATCGCAAAATACTGACAGGATTCATGAAACACTCAAAAAATAAACCGTAATAATCAAAAAGAGCTGCAGTCAAATTTCAAGTCTTTATCGAGGAGACGTAATTAAATGTCTCCACTAAGCTCGGAAACAGTTAGAAATTAAAAGAGGCAAAAAAAACTGAGGGAGACCAATAAAAACACGAAAAGGTATACAAATAATACAGATACAATAATATTGTGGTTACTGCCAATCGCAGAGGAGCTATCACTAGGCATTAACAGTCCCGTCGAGAATAGTTCATTTTTATATCTCCCCACAATCCACTGTTATTTTGTTGAGCGAAGCTCTTTTTTTGCAACTAGAACTTTCACGTGGTACCACTAATGCAGCCGAAATCGGTCAGGCTGTGGTAGACCTGAAGCTAGAGGTCAGGTGAGAGCTCGTCCTCACCCACTATCATTGCCATGACATAGGATCGAATACACGATCTGACGATTGCAAAGTGAACGCTTTACCACTATGCTAATCCAAATCAGCATCTATCTGCTCGCATTTATCTGTGTAACTTTTTGACCACAGAAGACTGTAGATAACACATTGCAACCAGATTTAAAGCGAAAAATCAAAACTTTCACATGCTTGAGCACCAATAATTTCAAAACAACTATATTGCAAAAGTTATACCAAAATTAAAATATAATCTTAGCCAGCCAAATCGACTCAAACCGAAAAATAATCTGATTTGTCTAATTTTTGCATAAGTTTTTTGAACTATGGAAGAGCTTCCTGAAGTTAGGTAAAGTTTAATGATTGAATGTTTTTATACCACTTTTCCCATTTAAAGCATATCAGATCAAATGGTTATTTTTTATTCCACGGAGAACTGCAAAAATCTTTATTAGCAAAACTCTAAGTCAAGGGCCATTTTTTGCGCTTTCCACTTGATACGCGATTAAAATTCATACTCGCAAAACAGAAAAACGAGCGTCAAGAAAATTCACACAAATTCAAAAAAAAATTTGCTTCGTTTATTATTAACACTTAAAACATCAAACAGACTATTAGAAAAGAATGAACGCATAAACATATCCAACAGACAATACTGTTGAATTTCAAGAACATTTATGTTTGGATTTTTTCCTGAAACTAGTCCAGCGGCAAAATGGGCAAGGTATATATTCTACCCATTTATATTCCAATGCGAATTCTGAAAACTAAAGTCCATTTCAGAAACCACTCATTCACGTTTTTAGCGGTATTTTCATTTCTGTCATTGCATAGCGTTAGATGCCTTCTATTTTGCAAATGAATTTGAATTGAGCTTGAAACCGCGAGTCAAACCGCGAAAAAAACTGAACAACAAAAACGAAAAAAATCATCCGTAAAAACGTGTCAAATTTTTGCAATCACATTAAATCATTTGTTCAATTAATATTAGGCATGGCTATAATCATTCCTTTCTTGAGATTATTAAAAACTGAAAAGACAAAACAAAAATCCTAAAAAGCTGTCCCAAAATTGTATATAAAAGAAAAAAGATCAAAAAACCGTGCTGCGCAGAGTCCTTGTTTTTTTAACTTCTGGGATGTAGAGGGAAGAAATCACAGAAATCTACAGCACCTGATGAGATCCTGTTTGACTTCGGCCCACTCCAAGTACCACTTGCATTCGTTGTTCTTGTACCTCTCCGCGATGTCCTTCGGGCGCTCCTTGTGCACTGTGACCGCATTGATGTTGGCATCATTCTGCACCAGATACCTCACACAGGACAGCCTGTTCCATGCTGCCGCCCGGTGCAGGGGAGTATAGCCTAAACCATACCATGTATAGTTAATGCTAAATTATTGGCAATATCCCTTTCGCTCAACAAATTTGAACGAAGTTAGTTAACCTGAAACTGCTCATTTTGATGTCTGAAATCAAATCTTTACTCATTTGAGCACGATCCGACTATATAAAAAATCTCAGTAACCTATTACAACCGATAATGATGCTCAAGGAAGCCAATATTGTCAACAATTTGGCTTTAACTATAGAAGGAGAATTGCTATATAAAATTGGGACAGACAAAATTACTTCAAAATAGCAATTGACCCTATTTTGGAAAAATTTAGCATGCAAAAGCTATTTTTTCGGATACAATTCGGATGCCTCAAGGTCATTTGAAACATCGAAGTTGCATGCTAAACTCAAAGGTTCGAATTACCGACTACCAAAATACTATTAGGCAAACAATTTGTCCGAAACTTCATTGAAGCATTCAAGTCAAACCTTCTCTATGAAAACTGCATAAAACACACAATTCTGAACTTACAAATGATTTTTACCACGCTACAAAACACGTATCGCAAAAGACTTTTTTCTTCTAAGTATGCAAAAAAGGTGACTAAGTAAAACATCTGCCGAAACCACTTAATCGGAAGCAAAAACAAATAATAAAAAATTACCAACAAAGCCGACAAAACAACGAACAGACACACGAAAAGCGACCCCATTACCTCTAGATTAAACGAGAAGGATCCGGGCTGTTGTTTAGCTACAATGATTAGGTTCAAGGTTGTTTAAGTTCAATTTCTTACAAATTTGTCCGAAAAGATGTTTACGGGAATATTCTATAACATGATTACAGTTCACATGCTCCAACTGAAGTAAAACAAGAAAAAACCTCACGTTGGTAATTTAACTTTTTGGTGCTGCATGTTACAAGTTCGTAACTTGCATTCACAAACGACCTTCGGGAATATATGTACACAATCAAAACAAAAAACTTTGCTCTGCTATAAAGTTTTTGAGAAACTTCTGTTTGATGAAACATATGGACTTCTCAAAGAAAAATACATGAGAATCGATATGGCTATAGTAGGCATCGGCAGTGGTGAAGTAACTTCCCTTTCTGGCTTAAATGTATGAATTCAACGATAAAAAATCAATGGAACATTTATCAGTGCAATATCTTGATTTTACGAATGGCCTTCGCCCAAGTCCCTTATCACATCCTTGCACGAAAACTTCTAGAATTGGAGGGAATCTAGTTAAACTTATTATGTCATACCCAAATGATTGACAACAATGTGTCAAAATTAGCAACAGTAAACAGAGATCGAGAGTTGTAACCAGCGGCGTCCTAAAAAGCTCCGTATTTATATTTTTATCAATCATCTGCCATGCAAACAGCTTCAAACAGATTACTACTGCTAGGCCCAGGGGCGGATTTAGGGGGGGGGGGGGTGGGGGGGGGAATCGGTGGACGGAGGCCCTTTCTCTAGGGATTCGACCCCCTGCCGACCCAAATGGTCCCCCCTTTTTTTACTATTTTGAGATATCCATTTTTGGTAACGGATTTTCAATTTTCCAAAAAGTGCCAAAAAAAACGCTTTTTGGCCAGTTTTTTCACATTTTGCCCGCGGCGCAGAAATGTTGGCCAGTTTTTGAAAATCCGCGCAGAAACAGTTTTTGAAAATCCGCCCCCACCCCCCTCGAGAAAGTCGGATGAATTCAAAGCAAAAGTACTTGATCAGCGCGGTCTAAAAGTATTGAGAAATGGCTCGAAGCAAACGAAATGACCCCTAACAATGAAAAATCAAATGTTAACATGAAACTTAGAAACTACCTTACAAAATCATTATTTGGCAGGGATTAACACAGCCAGCTCTGGGACTCCAACAATAAAATCCAGCAATTTGACATGGACTGAAAACTAGTTTCCGAGTAAAAAAGAATCTAAATGACCTGTATCAATTAAGGAGAAACTTAACATGAAGTGGTCAGTGGTCCACAAGCTTAAATGCATACACGGATACATAGTTCCCATCGTTATTTATGCGTATCAAACCTGCTGTCCAAGCAGAGCAAACTTGAGAATGCACACTTACAACCACTGGTTTCGGGATTTGAATACAAAAAAGTCTGAGAGCCCTCAGCGTTCTTCCTCTCTGCCTCTAGATTGTATTAAGCGACTTACTATTTTTTATAGGACTTGACAACAATAAATATGACATCAAATTTATTTAGACAAAAACGTAAAAGATGAGTAAACCAAAAAATGAAACAGGGCGAGTACAGGATATCAAAAAGAAGACTTGAAAATAAGGATTCTTCTTCAGAAGAACAAAAACGCTTTACAATTACCATATCGGAGTTCATGGAGACTAAACTACCACTTCAACGAAACAAAACCTCACTAGTAAAAATACGAGATTTATCGAAAAATGTTTCGAGATCAGCAAATACATGGAGAATACTCTGCAGATGTGGAAGCTGCAACGCAATGAACATAGCCAACTGACAGTTGGAAAAGAGCGATGAACGCAATGAAACAGCAAAAACTTCAACTTTTGAATTTCAAAGAAAACTTAATGATATTTTTGATGAAATTTGGAGTTTGTCTTCTACCAAAGGAAATGAAGTGAACTTAAAAATAAATGATAAGTAAAACCGAGAAAAAAATGAGTGTGATCAAACTGTTGGACCTTTTCCTGCAAACAGTAAGTATGTTCATTACTTTGGAACAAGAGATGAAAACAATTAAATGGACTGAAATGAGTTTTGGAACCCTAGCGTTACTCGAAATTCAAAAATACTACTACTAAAACGAGGCACAAGTAAACACAGGCAACAGAAGATTGGAATAAAGAAAAAAAAATTATATATTTGTTCAATCATTTTTATTCGGTTTCAAGGAAGTTTTTCCTGTTTCTTTGTTCTTTTTTATTATTCCATTATTCTTTTTCTTTGACCCTTTTAAGACTTCCTGAAAACAAAACACAATTAAGTCTTATACAAGTGAACATCACTTAGTTCTTTAACACTTTAAAATAACAAAACAAAGAGCATTAGAACGTATGAACTCGAAAAAAGGATAGCTAATTACTGTTCTCAAATACCAAAAAATGTCCCGACCATAGTTTTGAAAAAATAGAAAATGTTCTTTTCAAATTAGTGCCGTTTTTTTCTGCGTGGTGACATAGTAAGATCTGAACGAAAAAAAAGATATATTAGACAATCATAGTCAAATAGGTCAATTGGGAAACCGTTTCTGTAGGAAAATGACTAGAAAAACGGGGAAAAAAGCGTAAATGATATAAGAAATTTTCTACTTTTTTGCAGAAAAATTTTTGGAGTCCCAAAAAAGCACGAAAAATTTTCTTTACTAATAAAAACACTCTTTACTAGTAAAAATAAGTTTTCACGACGTAAATAGGCTATTGTAGGCCTGCAAACCTTATTTTGTCCATCCTTATAAGTTCAAAAATAAACCAAAAATTTCAAACCGGTTTTGCTCGACAGCGAGAAAAAGTTTTTCAGGATTTTTTGTCGTTCAAATAGTGCTTTAACAAGATGAAAAGCTCGACCCATGCCGATGACTATTTGTGTTACCTGATTTTGCGAGGAAAACAAAAGGAAAAAATATAAAACACCCGAATACAAACGCTCATTTGGAGAAGAACTATCCGACTACAGAAATCAAACCGCTGAATCCGTAATATAAAGCCTTAATGTTCCTAACTAAGCTATCTGGCTCACATCAACTAATAAAAAAAGAAAATAGCAGCTAGTTATGAATGCGCTTTAACATGGGTCACTAAACGCAGGTTACTCGCTCTCCGATTAAACTATTTTGGCAAAAATTGAACTCTTACTTAATGACATGATATACAGTTTAACATAAATACATCGAAAAATCTGAAATTTTTAAAAGGAGTCACATCAGCACTACACGCACCTTTAATATTGCCATTTATTTATTTAAGAACTGCGCTTCTGAGAATCGCTAAGTTTATCTTTGTCCTGATGTATTTTATGACTTCCGGGTAGCTGTGTATTTTTTGCACAATTTTTAGGCTAGCAGCTGCATTTTTTGTGTAGCTGTGGATACTATTCAACCAGTGCATCCGAAAGTCAGTATACAGAAGCTATTCTGCTCAACATCCTCTTTTTGTTGCTATTTTGACTTTTTATTGTTTCGTGGTACTTATACGCGTCTTCAAGAAGTCTACGCAATGTTTTGGCAATTGAGGAATTGAGCTGAACGCTTTCACGTCGAAGAAAGCGCGACTGAATCTTGAGCCCGGAGTCTGTTTATTTTTTATGTCTAGTTTTGGCTTGTCTTCAATAGTGGTTGAATTGTTGACAAAGCTCTCGCCTTACAAGTCCTGCATTTTAAGCGCTTACTAACACAAGCGTATTAATTTGAAATAAAAAGACAGTATAGAAATTCTCTTTACCTGTCTCAGTGGCATCATTTATAGATGCCCCCCTCTTGTGTAATTCTTGCAGAATTTCGTGCCGTCCAAGGCACACAGCTAAATCAATTGGACTTTTTCCTTCACTGTCAAATGTCTTGAGCTCATTTTGCATTTCGCTGTAAACAGGATGCTCGGGGTTTTCAAAGGCGTCAGAAATATCTTTAACATTTCCCTCGCGAATTTTTTGCAATAAAAAGCCCTCATACTGTTCGTTGTCCAAATCATCCACAGTAGGTTCTTTAGATAGTGACTCCTTTTTAATCGTCTCTAGAAGAGCCGCCATCTCAACTTAAACACGAAGCTTTACGCAATACCCACCAGCTACACATTAAACATTGTCACAACGCTGAGCTTAGCGTCACTTGCGGAACAACAAACGTAGCATAGCCAGCTAGCCGAAAAAAGAGAATTTCAATTAAACATGTTGAACTTTTATACGTTAGCCTCAAAAGAAATTCAATTTAAAGGAAAAAATTTCGAGGTTAATCATTGGCCTCGATAATTTAGATTTGCGACAGTATAATTTAGATTTGCGATAGAAAAATTTCAAGCAACAGTGAGAAGATTTGAATTAATTCAGTAATGAACAGGTGAACTTCCTCGTTTATTTCGCACTTCTTTTTTGGATGAGCAGGAGAAACCTCCAGACATTGCACGCAATACTATGAAGATATTGCTAAACCTTGCTGTAGGTCAAGCACACTTTAAGTGCAATGATATGTGATATACACAGAAGGATGGTTTGTCTATTGGAGCCTCTATTGCAGTCAAACTGGCAAATTTGTGGATGACAGATTTCGAACCTGTATTGAGTGAAGAGATTCCCAAAATTTTTGACATTCGACCAGAATGGCCAGAAAGGGGTAATCATAGTAACCGAGGTTACAGTCATGAGTCCCTTCATCATGTATTCCAGTCAAAATCCTTGGAAATTTTTAGATATGGAAGTGATAATGATAAAAGAAGATGACAAGTGTTTAAGTCCTTTTTAATTAAAATCGATACGGGTTACGTTTCTTCAATAAGAACACGCAACTCGACACGAGATAATATAATATACAAGTGTTACAAGTAAAAAATTTCGTCGAAAGTTATTTTGTCATTTATTGTTCCGAGTACGCAAGCTGCGTTCGCAATCTGTATTGCCAGGGAGATTCTCTGTTGTAAAAAGCTGCCTGCTCTGGGTTCCTGAAATGAATTTTTATTTGGAGCAGTTTAGTGGGAGAGTGATTTTATTTGGAGCAGTTTAGTGGGAGAGAAATGAAAGCTGCCTGCTCTGAGTTCCTGAAATGCATGGCAGAAATGAATTTTTATTCGGAGCAGTTTAGTGGGAGAGTTGGCTGTTTCGAGGAAATAACGGTGTTAATTGTTCAATTGAACGGATTGCGAGAGGTCTGTTTTGACTGAATTGTATCGTATTGTATCTCAAGATAACATCATCATACTATAATGTTCTTGCAAATGCCCTTTCCTCCAGGACCCTGACGTCATCAGTTTGGAATTCTTTACGGAATGTTTTCAGGAGGTTTGCAGGTTTGGCTCCACGGACGACTCGTCTGTTTGGTGGAGCCTGGACGCATGGGTACACGTCCGTCGCGGTGGTTTTTCTTCTCATGACATGCCCCAGATGTCTTGCTCTCCTTTTCGAGACAAAAATGGAGAGCGGGGTAGTTCTGCTTAGTTCGTACGAGTTGTCATTCGAAGTTTGGAAAAACCCTTATAACCTCACACGGCAGAAAGTTCAAATTTACGCCACATATGTGCGATCCATCTTGAAATATAATTGCTCCATTTGGTCTCTAACGAGGAGATCACTGATCGTCTGGACAAGATTCACAGGAAACATCTAAGGAGGGTTATAAACATCCATTACCCTAAGATTATTTCGAATGACAACTTGTTTTTGACTGACACATGAAATTTTAAAAATTTGTTTGTTTGTAAAGACAAGTGGCAATTTTAATTTTCGCGAATACCGAAAAACCGCGAAAAACAGAACAACGATTTTTGCTGATATAACACAGACGTGCGACTAACGAGAGAAACTAAAGATAATATAGTCGAAAATAATAGCGGAAGAGCATTCCGAAAAGTAACAATTTTGCAACTACAATCGTTACGGAGCAGTTGCCAAGAAGGGCTTTTGGGAGGATTTTACTACTCTTCCCTGGTCGTCAAGAAAACAGCTCTACGACCGCATTCAAGAAACCGGAAGGGTCCTGGAAAAGACTCTAAATACTGAATTTTAAACAGTTTTTAGCAACCTGAAATATTCTGCATTCAATGAAGTAACATCAAGTTCGTTTTCAGATAATGAGAGGTTATCTACTGAATAAAAACAATAGTAATAAGAAAATTTGGTCCCAAAATTTAGTCCCAAAATATTTTTGGTTTTTAAATTAAAACGTACATGTCTAAATCGAAATTATGACTCATAAATTTCCGGACAAATTAATTTTAAAATGGGTAATTATTTTAAGAGGTTAAAAGTATTTTAATCTCAATAGTAATTTGGAGGTCAACTGTGATTGGCTAATTTTTTTATCATGATGGCTTAGAATCAAATTGTATGTGAATTATTGTAAATACCATTTGTAAACTGTTGTTTCATCGTCATTAAGATTAGTTTATTGTAAAAAATCCTGACGATGCACATAGTTGCGAAAACGTTTGAAAATTACTTCTTAGCAAAATATTTTCAATTTTACTTGTAAATTCGTGATAAACCAAAAAAGCCTTAATAACAATTTGCTGAACAAAAGAAAGAACCTCCGACGATTACTGGAAGACAGTCCACTGAAGGAGAAAAAAGTGGTTGTGTGGCACGATGTGGTGAAGAACACCATTAGCAGCCACAGAACAAACAACTATCGCCCAGCCGGGGTCGAGGAGCTGACAAACTATTTGAAGTTGAAGAAACAGCAGACATTGGCGATAGTTTATTGCAGAAGGGAAGGAACGCCCGACTTGCTTTGCCAGCTTCTCGGCACAGAAATGCTCATTATTCCAGCTGCAAAACGGCTACTCTCCAAGAACAAGCAAAATGACCCGGAGCAGCTCAAGGAATATTTGAAGCTGCACCAGAGTGCTGAATTGGAGCTGAAATATCTGCGATTGGTAGTGGCACACAAAGAAAGGCTGTCAGAGCTGATTGGCAATATCAGGGGCAAACAACAGAGACCATCACAGACAAGGAGGAAGGCGAAAGCAAGACGTGAGCAGAAGCTGAAGGCAGAGAAAATGACTGCGCTTCAAAGACAGGGCGAGAAGAGTGTTATTTGTTTATCTTTGTGCCTTGTGAGTTTCATTACTCGTGGCCTACAAAACAATGACCACAGTTTTTTTGCCTGCTAATTGGCTCAGACAAATTTTAAAAAGAAAACTAATTTGGAAAATTAAGTTAGACTATCCAAAATTCTATAAAAAATTTCAAGTATCTGTACATAGACTGAAGTTTCTGAGAAAATGTCTGAAAAACGATCTAATACCGGACTTTTTGAAGTTTAGGGTCACCGAGAACGGAGTTTTTTGGACCAAGCTGTGCATAATTTTCAATTGAAACTAGTGAGGACTGAAACTTCTAGGCCAAATGAGGATAGGAAAAGGTACGAGGAGATGCTAATGAAAGCAAGATCATTGGTGCAAAAAGAAATAGACGAACAGTGATGGGCATCCATTTTCCGCTTCGTGAGGCGTCAAGTTGAGGCAAGTTTAAAGACAATATCAGAAAACCATAGAAAAAAGTTAGAAAAACTGTCTGAAAAGCCAAGATAAACCTCTTGGGGGGGGGGGGAGGGGAGAAATGAGCAATCAGTTAAGGTACTTGATAACATTGAACTGCCTGGATGGGTATATGAAGTGCTATCAATGGGCCCGAAGCATCCCATTAGAGACAAATTTACCAAACACACGTTTTGGCCAATATTGACATTTTCCTCTCACAATTGAAAAATCAAAAAACATCTGGTGAAACGTTATGTAAAATAGAAGCCGCGGCAAAGGCATATGCAAAAAATGTAAGGCAAACCCCAAAAGACAAAGCCGTTGAAAAAACGAGGAAATCTCTCAAAGATAATGGGTAGTTGGCTGTGACTTTTGAATAGGGGGTTGGTTTTTGCATAATGAGGAAGCAAGCGTATGAATCAAAGCTGGAATCCTTGTTGCAATCTGCTCAGTTTGTGAAAAAAGATGCAACCACTGATGAGGTTGTACTGAAAATTGAGAAGGAACTTAACAAAGAATACTAGCCATGAACAAAAGGGACGATATAAGTGATCATGTATATTCTAAGATGATGTAAACAGGGGGGCAACTCGCCCGTTTGTACGGTTTAGCTAAGGTACACAAGGATGACACACCCCTAAGACCAGTACTATCACTTCCAGGCAGCTCGTATGAGAATCTTCACAAAATGCTTGCAAAGTTTTTTGACAGCATCGATGGAGCAAATAAAGAAACCAATACTAAAGAGGCTAGAGAAGCAATTGAAAACATTGCTCTAGATCCGGATGAAGCCATAATATCTTTTGATGTGAAAAGTTTGTACACCAACGTTCCCCTGAAGGAGGCAATTAAAATTGCTTTACAGAAGCTGTACAACCAGGAGTCTCCTCCTGAAATTCAAAGAGCAACCATGAAAAAGCCTTTGAATATGGCGGTCAGCAAAGTATATTTCAAGTGTAAGGGTTCATGGTATATACAATTATTTGATGGTTTAGCAATGGGCGCGTCCCTCGCTGTAATTCTGGCAAACTTATGGCTGAAAGAGTACGAGTTTGCTCTAAGACAAAAAAATACCGGTGGGAACGGAAGTACAGCAAGTTAATGACAAAAACGGCTTGTGCCCATGCTGCAGCAGGAAAGTCACATATAGATCAAAAGGGGTTGAATGCGAGAGTTGCCGAAACTGGTATCATCTAAATTGCATAAAAATAACCGATGATGTATACGCATCAATAACCGCGATAGTCTGGTACTGTGAAAGCTGCTGCCGAGCTAAGAACAAGGAAAAAGATACTCCCCAGGTGAAATTGTTCCTCAGGTATGTGGATGACATTGTTAGAACATTCAGAGGGGAGCCGAGTTGTCTTCTCGATGCCGCCAATTCTCTTCATCCAAATTTGCAGTTCACTCTGGAGAAAACTAATTTGGAGGGGAATTTCCGTTCCTGGCTTTCAACATAAATGTATCGCAGGGTACGCGTGTAACTTGCAGTTGGTATTAAAAACCAACAAATACAGTGACTATACTGAACTATAGAAGCTGCGCCCCAACTCAGTATAAGCGTAGAGTTATCCAAGGCACTGTACACAGGGTTT